TGAAAAGAGAAGGTTCAGGAAGGACCATTGGCGATCTCCAACATGTAAGAAGTAGGAGAGTAACAAAGGAAAGATCAGAAACTGTGGAAGGGATCACAGAAGTCAAAGGATGAGAAGGTTTCAAGGAGGGCAGTGGCCAAGAGTGTCCCATGCAGCAGAAAGGTCAAATGAGATAAAGACTGAGAGGTCCTTATCTTACTTGCCAGTTCCTTCAGGGATGTTCTGTATGCAGTGGATACTTCATAAATGTTGACAGAAAAATTACATCCATTAAATAATTTGAGAGGACTGAAAGAAAAAATTAATAGAATTTATTTTATGGTGCGCCAATGGCAGGTTTACTTAGGTTTGCCTTCACACTAACAAATGAAGCACACAAGAACTTGGTGAACACCTTATGAGGCCATTTTATAAAGTCTCTTTTAAGTGGTGAACTGGATTAGTCTCCCAGACAACTAGCGCCAGCTTTGTACAGGTAAACAGCCCCCTCCATGCAGTGGATGAAAAGATAATGTCTCTGTATATGTCAGCGGCCCTCCTGCTATATTACAGTGCCTGAAAAACCAATTATTCTGGAAGCATTTGCCTGTCGACTGGATTACGTTCCCTGGGAGATGCGCTAAAAACATGAGCTGGCTAAAGTGTTTGCAGAAATACTGTTAAGCCACGGCTGTTCTGGATTGTTAGCTCTAGAATAACAATGGGTTTTTATTTGCAACCCTTTTAAGTTGATAAAGATTTCATAAATACTGTATTGTATCATTTAATACTAACAGTCCTCCCCCGGCAAGCATGTGATCATAGAAGCCTTTCTTGTTCTTTTTTTTTTTTGAAGGAGGGTGGTTGGGAGGGAGGTAATTAGGTTTATTTATTTTTAGAGGCGGTACTGGGGATTGAACCCAGGACCTTGTGCATGCTAAGCACGCACTCTGCCACTTGAGCTAGACCCTCCCCCGAAGCCTTTCTTTTAAGCTAAAAAAAAAAAAAAAAAAATCCCTTTATCTTTTAAGGAGATAATCTCCTAAAGTATAAAGATGGTTTAAAATAACAGACAAAAGTTTTGAACACAGTTCCAATGATAGTGATGATGATGCTAAACCCGTTTATGAGCTATGGTGTAAGCCAAGGGGCTGCAAGAAAGAGATTCCAAAGACAGCGATTTATACACGGTAGAACACTGCGTCTCTCCCAGGCAGTGTTCAGAAGCACGTGGGTGATTCAGGCCTGATGGGCAAGTCTTCTCCACAAATTATTCGGGAACTCAGGTTGCTATTCTGTCCCCCGGGTGGGTGGTGTCTCTGTGGTACAAGCTGGTTCACCAGCATCACATGAACTTTCCAGCCGCCCTGGAGGGGAAGGAGAGAGAGGACAGCAAGCAGCTTCTTCCATAAAGGATGTGACCCGGAAGGTGCAGACATCACTTATGCCCACATCTCACTGGAAAGGAGTTATTCAGTTAGTCACATCCAGCTGCAAGGAAGGCTGAGATTTTTAGCCTCTAACTGGGCAGCATGTGCCAGCTTAAACTTAGGAGATTCTGTGTAACTAGAAAGGAGCAGAAATATTGGGAGGCACTGGGCAGTCCATGCCAAACTCTTGCTTTGGTGTTTTTACAGTCATGATTACATTTGTAGCAAAGATGCAAGTATGAGTTTTTGATATGTTCATGGATTTCTGAAATGGGTTAACTCTGGGATATCCCATTTTACTTTTAATTTTGCTCATTGTATACCGTTTACCTCTTAAGTCCCTGAGTACTGTAGATAAGTAATAAGATCTCCTTGGAGAGGTGTTGGAAAAGCATCATTATGCTGACTTGGTCTCAGGGACATGTTAGTTACAGAGGTAGCCCAGCTTGTCTCTATGACTCTCCTTGTCCCTTTGCATCAGCATCAGATGCACAGAGATGATGTGTTGCTGGAAATACCACAAGGCAGCTTCCCTGGGGAGTCCTTAAATCCCGTGGCGAAAAGAGACACAGCCAGTGAACAGGAAAAACCATAATATCAGCAATTGCAGTTGCTCCTGGAATAAAAGAATAAAATAAAAGAATTAAACATAGGAGGGTTAACATAAAGGCACCAGAGGGCTATACTGTTTCACTTTTGGAGAGGTTGGAGCCTGTTGGAAGTTGATAGGAAAACTTAGTGGTTTGCAAAGTTATTTAATTTACCTTGTATTAGGTTTTGGTGGGAAAGCAGGGAAATTATGCCGTGCGAATGCGGTCACCCAGGGGAGCGTGAACGCGCACCAGTTAAACGGAAGTGTTTTCCCACCACTGCCGCTCCTCCCGTGAGCCCGGAAACCTAGATTTTAGAAACCATTTTTCTGCATTTATGAAGTATTTTTTTCTGTCTCCAGAAATCTGATTCATGATTTCATTAGCAGCAAATTCTAGAACTGTGCGATTCAATGTGGTAGCTGGTAGCCCTGTGTGGCTGTTGAGCACTTGAAATGTGGTTAGTTCATTAAGGTAAATACATACCGGATTTCAAAGACCTGTTACGAAAAAATAATGTAGAATATGTAACGATTTTTAAATATTGATTCCATGTTTAAGTGATAATATTTTAAATATATCAGGTTAAATAAAAATGTATTATGAACACTAATTTGACCCGTTTCTTTTTACTTTTTTAGTGTGATTCCTAGAAATTTTTAATTATGTTATGATTAATATCACATTTCTACTGAGCAGTGCTGACTTAGAAGCTGCAAGAGGATAGACAATCTCTTTTTCCAAGCTTGAAATGACCTATTCTGTGGCACATTGTCTTAATCCAAAGGTTATTAAGTTTTAAACCAACAGCCTCTCCAGCCTACACTCTCTCACACCCTAAATCAATGCTGGGACACTGATCTTGTATCCCAGAGTCACTGGCCTTGGGTTGAAAATTTTCTAATGGCGGATGTCTTTCTACTCTGTACAATGATCCTTTCCATTTACGGACAGTTGTGACTATCAAACTCTTTCTTTACAGTGGAAAGAATATTGGCTCTTTGTACTTTCAACTTCATCTAAGACTTCCTCCTTTAGCATACTTAAAATAAATCTAATCTTTCTTGCCATACGAGTCTTACCATTTAATTTAATTTAAAAACTGTGAGGTATTGTGTAAGTAATTGTACGCAGAATCATGCCCCCTCCATCCAGCTCAGCTCAGCTGTTCCCAAGGCAAACAGAACAATTCCTGTTCCCCTTGCTTGCTTGACACATTCTCATTTGCTAATAGACGTCCTTTTATCAGAATGTTCATTCTCCAGAACGCTGTAGATAGAAGTTTGTGGAGGAAAGCAAGAGTTGTTATAGGATGAAAATACTCACTAATGAACTGACCTCTAAAAAGTTAGCCTGCACTCAAACATCATTTTCAGTTTGACATTAGTGTCCTCTAGGACACCGTAGGTTCTTCCAAAGGACTGATTTAAATACTAAAGTATTGAGAAGCACCAGGGGAAAATTCATGAAGCCCTTCAAAGAATGATTTTTTATGATGGTGTAGCGAAATTCAAATGATGTGAATTGTTTCTCATACTTTCAAACAATTTTTTGGTCAGGAAGTTTTTTTTTTTTTAACAAACAAACAAACGAAAAAACAACACTTCAGTTGTGTGACAGGTTGAAAAACATGGCCCCAATGTTAGATGAATGAATGAATTAGAGAACATCTAGAAAATATATTTTACATCCTGGAAAATAAAGGCTACTATATTTTCTTAAAATTTGACTACATTTTCTTTCTCAATTCTGCATCCTTCATTTTTGAGAAGAGAAATCCCAGATCATTACCCTCTCATGCCTTTCCTCTTGCCCCATTCTTGGTGTTTTTAATCACCATATGATACTTTAAGGGCCTTTGCAGTGTTTGAATGGTAGACCCTAAGACATATGTCTATGTCCTCATCACTGTAACCTGTGAATGTGAGTTTACTTGGCTAAAGCATTGCAGATGTAATTAAAGTAAAGGTCTCTGGATTATCTTGGTGGGTCCTAAAGTCAATTCCAAGTGTCCTTAAAAGAAATAAAAGAGAAGACACAGAGGAGAAGGCCATGTACAGACTGAAGTAGAGAGTGGAGTTGTGTGGCCACAGCCAAAGAACACCTGGAGCCACCAGAAGCTGGAAGAGAGAGGAAGGATTTGCCCCTTCAGAGGGCCTATAGCCTGGCAGACACCTTGATTTAGAACTTCTGGCTTCCAGAACTGTAAGAAAATAAATGTATCACTTTAAGCCATCAAGTTTATGGTAATTTGGTATGGCAGCCTTAGGAAACTAATATAGACTTGCTTGTGATAAAAACCCTTCTTTTTTTATTTAACAAATTTTTCATTTTTTATTTGAAGTATAGTTGATTTACAATGTTATGTTAGTTTCTGGTGTAGAACATAGCAATTCAGTTCTTTTATGTTTTATATATATATATATATACACACACACATATGTATATATATTCTTTTTCATATTCTTTTCCATTATGGTTTACTACAAGATATTGAATATAGTTCCCTGTGCTATATAGTAGGACCTTGTTGTTTATCTGTTTTATATACAGTAATGTGTATCTAGTAATCTTAAATTTCTAATTTATCCCACTCCCCCTTTCCCCTTTGGTAACCATAAGTTTATTTTCTATGTCTGTGAGTCTGTTTATGTTTCATAAATAAGTTCATTTGTATCATATTTTAGATTCCACACACAAGTGATACCATATGATATTTGTCTTTGTCTGATTGACTTCACTTAGTATGATAATCTCTAGGTCCATCCATGTTGCTGCAAATAGCATTATTTAATTCTTTTTCATGGCCAAGCAGTATTCCAGTGTGTGTGTGTATGTGTGTGTATGTGTGTGTGTGTGTGTGTGTGTACACCACATCTTCTTTATCCATTTATCTGTCAATGGACATTTAGATTGCTCCCAAGTCTTGGCTATTGTAAATAGTGCTGCTATGAACATTGGGGTACATGTATCTTTTTGAATTAGTGTTTTTGTCTTTTCTAGATATATGCCCAGGAGTGGGATTGCTGGATCATACGGTAAGTCTATTTTTAGTTTTGAAAGGAACCTCCATACTGTTTTTCAGAGTAGCTGCACCAATTTACGTTCCCATCAACAATGTAGGAGGGTTCCCCTTTCTCAACACCCTCTCCAGAATTTATTGTTTGTATATTTTTAATGTTGGCCATTCTGACTGGTGTAAGGTGATACCTTATTTTGGTTTTGATTTACATTTCTCTAACTATGAATGATGTTGAGTATCTTTTCATGTGCATATTGGCCATCTATATGTCTTCTTAGTAGAAATGTCTATTTAGTTCTTCTGCCCATTTTTTTTTTATTGACAATACCTTAATTTATAAACTAGCTAAGGAGAAGGGAAAGAAATACTCAACATTCAGTCTGTACTTTTGGCCCATGTGGCCATTACACTTTTTCTTGGTGTCAAGGTTGGATTGAAGGTATAACATGCCAAGTTACTCAGCCCTAAATCATCATCCTTACTCAACCACTATCTTGATAATTTAAGCAAATTTATTTATCTCTTTGGGTCTAATTTTGTCTTCCCCTAAAATTAAAGTAGTAAATTAGATCAGAATATCCCAAACTGATATCTTGAGGAATTCTGTTTTGAAGGATATAAATGGGTATACCCCACAATACCCTTACCCAGAGCCAGGGACTAGAGTGGATAGTGTTCTGTGTTCAAATAAATTTAGGAAACTCTGAGCCAGATATGCTATATGTCACCTCACTCCCTGGCAACAGCTGATTTGGACTAGGGGTAGATAACTGACCTAAACTGGGCCTCATAGAGTCTCTCTCCCAGGAATTTGGTATTTAGATCCAGAAATTCTAGTCTTTGCTGGTTCCTAGAAATGGAGATAAATAAACTCAGGGGCTATGAGTTAGTCATAGTCTTCTCTATGTACAGAAAAGTGGAGAAAGCTACTCTTCAGGTAGATGATGATGGAGCCTCAGAGATGGAAAAGATGGAGAAATTATCTCCTGATGGATTTTGGCTTCTTTAGTTGCAGTGCAAAACTTCTATAACCATGAAATAAACTGTCTTCTTTTTGCCCAAGCTAATTTGAGTAGGGTTGTGTTACTTGCATCCAAAGTAGCGTTTACTGAGACAGATGATTAGCACTTGGTAACTCACATATTACTGGTGATACTACACAAAGAAAAGTCTTGCAAAACATATCCTAGCTAAAGGCCTAGGGATAGGAGTTAAAGGTCCAGGTAAATAATAGAGGAGAAGAAAGCAAATTTTATATATGTCACAATTAACTTCATCAGTTACATCTTAGCACTAACTTAGTTAGTAAGCATAAAATTTATGCATAATCCCTGTTCTCAAGGATTTTACTATAACACTGCTGATTCCAAACTAATATTTATCAAAATAGATTCTTGATGGCAAGAATTGATTCTTGTGTGTAGTTGATAAAGGGTCACCAGTTTTAATTAAGTGGAACAAAGTTACTACTTCCGTGATAACCATTATATAACTGGGAATGAAAAAGTATTTCATTTAAAGTAGTGTCCCTTCAAATGTTACAGGTTTACTAAATTTTAAAGAGTGATTATGAGATTATCTTGTTCATGGAGATGTGTTTAAAATGCTTTGTGTCCATGTGTTTAATCTCATCCCTTTAATGGAGCCTAGCAACTTTACCTTCAGGTGATTTTTTTACCCACTGAGAGAAAGTTTCCATCTGTAGTTTTGATCTGGAAACCACTATTTTTCAAAGAATCAAGAAGGACACGGTTACACATCGAAGGATATTCAGATGAAAAATTTAAAACTCAGCAGGAGTTTCAGACTTCAAATGGCCGTGTGTTGTGTTTTCCATAGCGTGTCATGTTGTGCTTTAATGAGTGTGACCTCTTTCCTATTTGTCATTTCTTAAGGCATATCAAGCAAGCAGTAATGGGCTAAAATAAATTGTCTTCCAGGTGAGGCCCCTTGGGGGATCCCTCAGTGATATGTGGCTAAAAATAAGACCTGGGAGTGCCTGACTTCCCACTGGGCTGCCTGTCAGCTCTTGCTACGCCCAGGTGCCTGGCTCTTCGCGGTGGGAAGAAAGAGCAGGCAAGGTGGTTTGGCAGATGCCAGGGCATCCCCTTGCGAGTTCTGGTGAAGAAGCTTTGGGTCAGGATCAGAACTTCAAAGCAGCAGCAGAGCCCTTCAGAACAGTGCTCCTCAAATGGTCACCGTCGGGGCCAGTTTTGACTTGGCCGAGGGTAGAGGGTCCCTGTTGCTCATTCGCAGTCGTGGGAGTCAGCGCACCCGGGGAAGCCCTCAACGACGGGATTCGAGGGAAACCGAGGGCATTTTTGCTGAATTTAAATTCAAATTTAAGATACTTTAAAACATTCTTGTCCTTCTGATTTTGACAGTAATACATCTTCATTTTGGAATGAGGGTGGGGGCTGAAGGGTATAGGATACGAAAGATACAGGATGAATCATTTAAAATATCACTAGCCCAAGCCACCGTTTCCATTTCAGCAAATTTTCTTCCGGGCTTTTTTGCTTATATTTATATTTAATCTTCTTGTGAGTTTCCTTAAAACTCAAAACTGTGGCAAAGCCTTTGCCACATTGCTGCAAGCTATTTGTAAATCATTCTTCTCCAAATTGGTACACCTTGATATACTGAAATTAAAACAGCTCAGCAGAAAATAAACGGCTCCTCTTGGTGTTCTGCAGTTCAGTGCAGCTATGAGTCTGGAGACCTGCAGGTGGGGAAGGCAGTTCTTCCTCCTGTCTCTCTGTCCTGCAGTCTAAATGGAGACTCGGAATCAATTTTATTAGATGAGGGAGGTAGGCTGTACCTTGTTGTGGAGCTTCCTGCCAGGGATGGTGACATTCACCTCCTACAGGTGCTCATGGTGTGGAAGTCGCTGCCGGGACAAGACGCATTGGTCAGTGACGGTCTAAACCACCACATCCAGGACGTAGCCTTAGCTCACGTTGGTAAGGGTCTGGTTGCAAACATAATTTTTAATGACTATCCTATCATTCCGGGTTCTTGGTTGCAAAACAACACTCTAGCTAATTTAATTAATTAATTTAACATTTAAATTAATGTAAATATGTTCATCTCTTGGAGGGCCCAAGAACCAGGCTTGAGGAATATGCAGCTAAATTACAGCACCAGGATGCTTCAGGAATTTAACTGCACCACTGACTCTGGAGGTGGGACCCTTTGTCACTGCCCCTCTGAAAGCTGGATGTCCCTCTGCCACAAGCCACGACCCTCAGTGGGATGGATTTTTTTCATGGACACCTCTTTCTTCTTGTCACTCTTTGGAGTCAAAATTTTATAAGAGTGACTCTGACTGGTGGAACATACATCTCATATCCATGCCCCAGCTGCGAGAGAAAGTGGAAAAACAAGTTGGTGACTTCTAACTTAGGAACAGAGAAATTTTGCAAACATAAAGAGGCTGTTCATAAGCTCATGGGCAGGGGAAAAGTGTAACAAAGTTGAAAACAATTGTGCAATGCTTTAATGTGTAAATGTTTCATAGTAGACTTAATTTCTTGATTGTTGAAAATATGGGCCACTTAAGATATTTTTTAGTCATCTTGATTGAGGTCTAATTTACAGACAACTGAAATGGGCCCTTTCATGAGTCCTGACCAACTCATAAAACCATGGAGGAGCCACCATATTCAAGATAAAGAATAGTTTCATCACCCTGCGAAGTCCCCTCACATGCCACCTCATAGTCAGTCCCTCCCCCTGCCCCCAGCTGCAGGTAACCAATGATCTCTTTTAGCCCCGTAGGTTTCCCTCCCCAGAATGTCACAGTGGGCACCCTTTTCCCACTCTGCCTAATTACTTTGAGACTCATCCAGGCTACTGCACGTGTCAGCAGCGCTGTCCTTTTTGCTGTCAAGTAGAACTCTGTCACACAGAGGTACAGCTTGTGCACCCATCCACCAGCTGGGGCACATTTGGGTCATTGTCCAGTTTGTGACAGTTATTAATAAATAATTCCCACTATAGACATGGGAATACAGGTTTTTGTGTGCACAAGTGCTTTCATTTCTCTTCGGTAAACACCCAGGAATGGAATTACTGGGTTACATGGTGAAAGTATGTTTGACTTTGTAAGAAGCTGCCAATGAAGTGGACATCATTGGTGTATACATCTATCAACATTCATCAAACTGTACATTTGAAATATGTGTACTTAGTGTACTGCACAGGAACCATTCCACAATAGAGCTGTTAAAAAAATACTAAAGCGGGCAGCCCATTTTGCCTTCCCTCCAGCACTGCGCAGGAGTCCTCACTGCAGACTCCCTGGTACTCAGCCTTTTTTCTCGTTTTTGCTATTGCTAACATGTATTAAAAGTAATATTGACACTAATCCTTGATGAAATTCCGGGACAGAAAAGAAATACAACACAGGAGCCCCAGGAAAGAGTCGTCCTCCTTCCTTTCCTCCCCTTCGCTCGGCTGTTCTTGCCCCCCGTCAACTTTCCTCATAAACTCTCATCTCCTTGAGGACGGGGTGGGGGAAATACGGAGTAGATGCCAGTGGAGGTAGGTAATTAGTAGTGGTTGGTTGCCTAGTCAACCCAAAAAACGTCCCACAGGAGAGCAGCTCCTTAGAAAAGAGCCAGAGAGCTGTCTTGTATCAGATTTTTAATTCTCAAAAGTCCTCGGAATTTTGAAGGACAGACAGTCTTGTACACGAAGGGAAGAAATGAGCCACCTGGAGTCCACAAGTTAGTGTCTTTAGATGCAGTTTCTCCCTGAGCCTGTTGTAACTTTGGGTAGTCTTTCAATCTCCCTAGCTTCTGGATTTGTCCTTGGTATTGAACCTGCTCATCCAAGTTGTGATTTGGCTCAGTTCCCCGCTCCCGCCCTGTTACTTATCCAATGTCTTCTCCCCCCTTGAACGACTCTTAGCACCACAGTCACTAAGCCCCCTGGCTTCAGACCTGCTGCTGTCAGCATTCAGACTCTTGCTGTTGCCTTCAGACCCAGTCGTTTCTTCCTGTCTCCACCTAACCCTTGCCCGCGTGCCTGGGGCTCAGTGTTACTGATGACTTGGGTGGAAACACCAATGTAAATCCGTCTATGGATGCCCTAAAGCCAGGAGGAGAGCCAGTACAGCTGGGTGACAGAACTAGGACCAAGAATATTTCCATAAGTTGGAACAAAGAACAGAATGTAACAAGGTAAACTGTAGCCAAATGAGGTTCTGAACTGAGTTTTAAAACTCAGCTGCACAAGCATGAGGTGGGAAGTCATGAATTAGTCCTGCCACATATGGGAAAGACACGCGGGCTAAGCAGACGACGTTTCATATGAGTCACTGGAGTCGTGTGGTCAGCGGGACTGCCAAAAACAACTGAATGTGGGCTGAGGCTACATTACCAGACACAGAGTGAATGGGTCAAAATGGACATGATCTCACTTTGTGCCACCAGTCAGACCACACTTGGAATATCAGGTTCAGTTTGGGGTCACGCACCCTAAGGCAGACCAACTGGAGGGTACCCACCCACCGTCACCGCCATCACAGGCTGGTTTCTGTCTTACCAAGCTCCTGGGGCCTTCCTGCAAGCCCATGGGCACGTTCCTGCCCTGTCCTATTTGACCTTGCTGCACTATCTGCGCATAGGCCACTCTTTCCTTCCTCAAGTTGTCTTCTCCTTTGGTTTCTTGTCATTATACCCTTTTATTTTTTTAACTACTTATCTGACCACAACCTTGTCTCCTTCTGCTCCACAAATATGGATGCTCCCTACCTTTCCTAGCCCACTTTTCTTCTATACATTCTCCAGGGGAGATCCTGTCCATTGTTGTAGTTTCAACTACCAAGTATACCATTGACTCCCAAATCCCTTTTCTAGACTTGATCTTTTCTGAGCTCTTGTTCTATATATCCTCTTTTTTTTTTCATTTTGGTGAAAATATTTGATCAATAAATGCCCACAAGACAATAAAGAGATCTCTAAGGGGAATAATAAAAATGCCAAAAGGCGATAGATCTTCCTGTGTAGGACATTTCTAGTAGAGATTATTTGCAGTCTGGGAGCCCTTCTAGATATTTAACCATTAAAGCTCTTGTTTTGCCTGAATCGCTTTCTAGGAAGAGGCACATCCTTGAAGGAATGGGTTCATTATGGTCTTCTCCAAGGTGGGGTCAGAGTGGAGAGGGAATGCAGGTGAGCTCCATCTTTAGAAGTAGTGGGCTGACAATCAACAATTGTCCAACAATCTCCCTCTTACCTTCTCAAGGGAGTCCAAAATGGTAGACCTGGGAACTTGAGTCTAAGGATTTAACTTTAAAAAAAAACTTCTAAAGTTTTTATTATTTTTATCCATTTATCTTCTCATAATGCTTGAAAACAAATAATTATCATTTAAAAAAACGATGCTCTTTGTGTCCCTTTGAAGACGACAAGAAAGGGAGGAAGTGACCAAAGTGTGCCTGACTCTGGGCTGGGTGAGGGGAGAGAAGAGTTTTGAGAGAAAGGATGCTAGGCTGTGAGGTAGAGGCTACTGAGGAAAGGGGGTGGAATTTCGAGGACCCTGCTTCAAGGAAGAAAGGGAAACCCAAGGAACTAGTTTGTACCTGAGTTGTAAAAGGACTCAACAAAGGAATTCAAAGCCATATCACACAAAAAGAGGTGAATTTGGGGATATTTAGTCTGGAAAAGGGGTCTCAGTTGTTGGGAGATGTTTGAAATTCGTCATGAGGAAAAGGGCTTAGAATGCTGTATATTTCCTTGATGGGATGGAAATTATATTGAGGGTGGTGGTAGAGGAGTAGTGGAGAGTGAGAGTCATATTTTTGCTCTCTAACCATCAGAGCTGTCTGAAAATAGAATGGTCTCCTTTGAGAGATAGTGAGTTGCCCATCTCTGGAGGATAACCAATTAGCAAGAGGTGTTTAAGGGGACATGTAAGCACTCTGGATGCATTTGCACTCAGTGACCATTCGGGTATCTTCCAACCCTAGGAGTCTGTGATTCTATGAATATGTTGAGTATCTAAACATGCAGGGAAAGCTCCCTCATTTCCAAAAGTTATGAGTCAAAACACATGAGAAAAACATTAAAAATTTCTTGGTGATACATAATCAAGTGCTAAAATCAATATTGTCAGCATAACAGCCAAAGGAATTCAGAAAAAGAAGTCTTGAAATGATGCTGGGAGTAGAATATGAGCCCTGATATGTTCCTATGTGTTGGACAGACATGAAAAGAAAGGACATTCTTGGTGATACAGCATACTGAAAGATATGAAGTAAAACTGTTGTAAGCCCCGAAAGCTTTATTTTCAGCTTTCATTGAAATTTTAAAAGAAAACCATAGGTCACTAGGTACAACAATATTCTAGCGAGAAAACTGGAAGGGCAAAATCTGCACCTCAGTGTTCATAGCAGCACTATTTAGAATAGCCAAGACATGGAAACAGCCTAAATGCCCATCAACAGATGACTGGATAAAGAAGACATGGTATATTTATAGAATGGAATACTACTCAGCCATAAAAATGACAACATAATGCCACTTGTGCAACATGGATGTCCCTGGAGAATGTCATTCTAAGTGAAGTAGGCCAGAAAGAGAAAGAAAAATACCATATGAGATCACTCATATGTAGAGTCTAAACAAACAAACAAAAAAGAACATAAATACAAAACAGAAACAGACTCATAGACATAGAATACAAACTTGTGGTTGCCAAAGGGGAGGGGAGGTGGGAAGGGACAGACTGGGATTTCAAAATTTGTAGATACTGACAGGCATATACAGTATAGATAAACAAGATTATACTGTATGCACAGGGAAATATATACAAGATCTTGTGGTAGCTCACAGCAAAAAAAAAATGACAATTAATATATGTATGTTTGTGTATAACTGAAAAATTGTGCTGTACACTGGACTTTGACACAACATTGTAAACTGACTATAACTCAATAAAAAATGTTTTAAAAAATCTGATACAAGTACTTTTAAAATGTTACATCCTGGGGATCACATTTAACAGGAAAAGGAGAGAAAAAGGAATATTTACAAATCAGTTACCTTGGGTTACAAAGAATATGGAATATTAACCAGGTAGGATAAAGGTTTTAAGTAAGATTTATCCTTAGTTTGTTTTGTGGCAGGAAATAGACTTTCCAGATAGTTTAAAATTTTTATTTTCTTTTGCTTTCTTTTGATTTTGAGGAGGGAAAAGAGCCTTCCTTCAAAAGTTGGTTCGTGTTTATAATTATCCCCCAAGGACTGCAATCTTTTGTGAGGACGACAATTATTTGCTGTAGACAATTGCATCTGTTATCGGCATCTGTTTGTTATAGAGAATTGTGCTTGCTTATAGGAAATTATATACTGTTGGTCACAGGTCAAATTTTCTCATTCACCTTGAGATAATAACATGTTAATCATGGTCTTGTTATAATTAATTTAAGCAGTATATGAAGTACATATTGCTAAGAGGGGGGTCTCTTTTAGATGTTTCTTCTGACGAGGTTTATAAGCTTAAAAAATACTTTTAAACAGAAGACTTATTTTTCAAACCAATGCAAAACTCAAGAGTCTTTGATAGATCAAAGGGTTAGAGTTGGGAACGATCATGTTTTGTTCACCTAATGGTGAGCAGGACCAGAGCAGCACGTGGTGCTGGGGAAGTATGTGAGAGCGACCAGCACGGGCCATGTGAGTGTTTATAGATAGTATCGTGTGGAGGAGTACGGAGCATGGTGTTAGAGGCAAACAGGAGTCATCTGAATCCTGGTGCCTTAGGCCGATTGCACTGATGCCCCAGTTAATGGCTTCCCTGAGCACATGCCCCATGCAGGGTGACTTTGCAGCAATTCCACCCCTGAATCTTGCCCAGCCTCGTGACTTCTTTGGCTAAGAGAACATGGCAGATGTGATGTTGCACCAGCTCTGAGTCCAGGATCTCAAGAAGTTTCCCTCCCCCCTTGCTCTCTTTGGCTTCTGCAACAGAAATGAGCCCAAACCAGCCTGCTGAAAGATGAG